AAAAAAAAAAAAAAAACTACAAACGTCGTTTTGATCGTGAACGCGCGAGAGCAGGAAGCAGTTCCACACCAGCGACCGGAAGTTCTGTGCGAAGACAGGAACAACAAAGAAGAGAGAAAGTGCCCGGGTTTTAAAACATACTTAAAAAAAAAAACAAGGGAATTAACGTATTATTCGCAGTAGGTACGTTTTAATCCTTTAAACCCGCTGTTCGGGGACTATAATGTATCTCAGCTGGGTCCGTAACGTTAACGTTAGCCACCCAGCGCGGCCGCTGCCTGCTGCCGTTATGGCTTTATTGGCTAACTAGCCTTTTTTTAGCCTTTCGCCTGTGATAAAAAACCTCTGTGTGCAAATGCAGACAGATAATTAACCATAATGAGTAATTAAGAATGAACAAAAAGCAAGAAGTCACGTTTAACCATCAGCTGTTTGACAAATGATTTCTTATTTACCGGCGTTTAATCGGTAACGTGAACGTTGCACTCCCATTGGAGGGAAGTATTAAAATCTGACTTTTAATCAGTATTTGTCACTTTAATGTCCATGTGTTGATTCATAATGGTCCATTTAAGCGCCATATCAACACAGTCACTCGCACATTGTTTTAAAGGATCGGTTCGGATATTTTAAAGTCCACATTTTATATATATTTATGTATTTAAGTCCTTGTGTAACTGTAATGTAAGAGCTGGGAGACCCTCAGTGTTTGTTCTGTACATTTTAAAGTGCAGTCAGATCTAATATTAGTCTTCAGCAGTGGGTGTTTCCTAAAAGTTCAGCAGGGAAACACAAAGAGGGAATTTTATATTTAAAAAAAGAGATTTTGGAGAGTCACTCCAGGAGGAGATCACTTTATTTAGACAGACGCAATCCTTACAGTGACTAGTAATGTTCATTTAAGATACTTTTGGAGTGGTTTAAATAACAATAGCCGTGTGATTCTGGGAATTAAGACAGTCCTATCCTATAACATGATGATAGACAGATTAACAGAGATTGTTATTAACAGACTTCTGTCAACAACTTTTATAGAAAAGCTTCAGAATAAGATGCTCTCTCTCTGTTTTCTGGCTTTTTAAAATCACAGATCCGCAATTTTCCTCGCAGATCTTTACAACCTGTACAGCGTGTCTGTCTTTACGACCTCAATCTGAGTCCGTGTCGCAGCTGATTTGCCTTCATCACACCCGTTTTCTGTCACTGACATAATATCCTCTCCTGTTTTCTTTCATCAGGGCGAAAGAATTTGGTTTGCATGTGAGGACAAGTGTCTGCCCGAGCCACGAGCCAACCATGGCGAACAATACAGAGGATATTGAGAACAATATGGTCAGTATGAAAGAATGTGTCACGTCTACTCCAACACTTTATCTGTCTCTCTCTGTCCGCGCTGATGTATTGGCTCATGATTAGCAAACAGCTTTAACTTTGTGCAACCCGGTGTTTCCGCGTCACAGTCAGTGATGAAAGAGTCACTGCGGAGGAGTTTCTTTTTGGCCTCTCATACAGTAAATGATGATTATGGGTGGTTCTGTTCTGATAAGGAAAGATGTTAGACACTGGGAATGTCGTGCTACTTCACTGTCCGCGTTTGTCTCTTACTGTAAATATAGGTGTGGCCTTTTACTTCAATCAAGAAGTCAAAGTCTCCCTTTACTGTGAAAGTCCACTTATAACCCTAACAAGTCTCGACAAATGTTTTTATTTACCCTGTAACAGCTGAGCGCGACTTGGGGAACCACAAAACATGTCATTTGTGTCCTAAACGGCGTGTTAGTCAGTCAGGCCACTAAGAGGTCAGCGTGGTTACAGTATCACAACCCTAAGGTTAATTTAGCACACATTCGGTAAATTGCACCGCCGCGTCTCTTGTGTCCACGGGAACAACATTGGCCTTATTCCCACGACTGAGAAACAATGCGGTGTACTGTCCCACACATCGAGGTCAGGCAGCCGGCTGTAAGAGCGGCGGCAGCTTTCACTCTCTGGAGATGCCTCCTCACTTATTTTCTGTGTGTACCCCGGTGAGATTGCTTCATGTCTGTGCTGCCTTCATGTCTTGACTCGCATGGCAGCCTGACAGCTTTAGTTCACACAGTCTCCTCCATTTGCTCCTTTTTTTATTTTGTCCTGAGGGGATTCATCCTCAGGGCGAGTGGGAAGGAGCGCAGCAATGTTATCCTTGGAGGAACTGGTCTAGTGAGCGTAAGTGTGCCACTTAAGCTTTCTAATGCAAACACAGGGCGGCCCCATAACTGTTTGCTGTAGTGTTTGCACAATTTATTGCCAGTAGAAACAAATAGGACTGTTTTATCTGATGGTATGATGGTTGTTGACCTTCTGTGTTGATGCAGAACTGAGACACCGGAGAGGAATGATTTATTTATGTGGTCTGGTTCTTCAAGGAATCTCTGGTTTCACATCGTTTTAAAAAAAAATATAATTTCTGGACAAGATTGAAATGGGTGTGTTTTGAGTTTGGGGCCTTTTAAAAAAAAAAGCTGTCACTGTTACATGTGGCAAATTGTGCCAACGTCATATTTCACAGATGCTATTTTCTTTTTTTATGATTATATTTCATTTTATGAGATAATTCATAGTAGGGAGTGACAGTAAATGAACACAGACACTGTATCGTACTGGATGTCTTCCATCAGAATATCCTAAAATCTTTCATAGTTAACACTGACTGAACCACACCCAGGAGGAATATTTGATTAACAGGCATGTTCTTGTTGATTCTGAGAAATCCCTGAAACAGTTTTTGCTCTGTCTGCATGTTGTACATTGTTTGTCTGTATGTACATATAAGGTTTGTTATTATATAGAAATAATATATTGAATCTATCCCTACACAAATGTTGTAAAACTTCTTGTACGTTGAGCATACTTCGAAACTAAAGCGAGTCTTCTCCCATACTCAAAGGACCAACAGGAGACCAATGTGGCCCCTGAACCCACCCAGCAGCCACAGGAGGCTGCCGTGACCAGAGCGCGGTCCAGAGGAGGCTCAGGAGGAGGTGGAGGCGACGGCGGAGGTGGAGGTGGAGGTGGAGGTGGAGGTGGAGGTGGCAATGGCAATGGCAGTGGACCGGAGCAGAACGGGCAGCCCCCCACCGCTCGCGCTCCACGCGTGGTGGAGGCCGAGGAGGACGAGGACGAGGAGCTGACCTTGAAATACGGGGCCAAGCACGTCATCATGCTGTTTGTTCCCGTGACCCTCTGCATGGTGGTTGTCGTGGCAACCATAAAGTCTGTCAGCTTCTACACCCAGAACGACGGGCAGAGATTGTGAGTGCTGGGACTCTTATCGGACAGATTGTGGTAGACCGGAGG